GAACGGTCCCGAGCACCACGCGCCCAGGACTGTGGTTCGAAGGACGGAAAGCTGGATTGGTATAAGCCCCAAAGAAGACAACTGTTGAAACTCGCCAACTTAGTAACCATGCGAGAATATCCAGTAAGTTCTCATGAAAAGCCCTACTACATATGCCCTGGCCTATCATGTAGTTGTGTGGACAATTTGGACCTACCAATTAGGTTTCAAGAGGGTTTTGGGGTGCAGTAAAGAGACACCTGCTTTTGAACATGTGCAGATGATACCATGTCCTCAAAGGGTTGGGTCCAAGGGGCCAGGTATTTGCAAGTCAAAAAGATTAGGGATTAGGGCTTAGAGTCAGGTGTTTAGGGTTTGGGGACTGATCCCCTATCCCTAATACCAATACCTGCTCCACCCCTAGTAGTCAATAACCACGATATACTACCATGAAATCGGTCCACTGGACCAGCAAGGTTTGTGTATGTGTGTGTGTGCACGAGTGTTTTTTCTTCGGAGACTTGCGTTTAGAGAACCATGTGGCTTTCCTTGTAAACAATATGAGAATGCCTGCGCTATGTGCATATAACAACCGTAAATCCTTGTATACTGATCTAGCATCTCTGTGACAACCTTGGATGGTATCCAATCATTTTAATGATTAAACACACTAAACTCTACCGCTGCAACATGTGGGCCCTGACAGCGTACCTGTCTGAACTAATTTGAGTTGGACGTTGCCCCGAAGAACACTCAAAAACAACACCATACCCTAGGGCTCCCAGATACCTAAAAAGTAGGTTACAGGGCTATGTAACTATATAGGGTATATAGAACCCAGAACCCATTATTTAGGTAACTGGAGCCCTAGGGATACTAGCAGCCGTGTGAGTCTCCAGGGAACTGCATCCGTCGAAGATTGCCATCCCAAGGCTCGTCACCAAATCAGGGATCTCAACATGTTTCAAAGCTTTGCAGTTACCTGGGCAGGCACATTGGGCACGCGGTTAAGGTCTAGGTTTTAGGGTTTAGGGTTTAGGGTGTAGAAGGTGTTCAGCCAGAGCTACGTAGCAACACAAACTTTGAGCGGACATTAACGGTTCCGAACTTCACGATCCCTTTTGACGGTGCCGTCGGGTGTGGCTCATTCTTGGAGAAGTCCGGGCCGCGTCCCAGTTGTGAGAACATCCAACTGTGGGCTTCGGAAAATGGAGGGCCCCTAAGACCCCAATGGGCTGCTGATGGATATTTGGGGATTACATGGGGATTATTGGGGTCTTTTTTGGGGATTTCATAGGGACTAGTTTGAGAAATACCCAAGTGTCGCAAGCCCTTATCGAGGTACTGAAGGCCGCATCCCCAATGTAGGTGACGGAGCTGGGCATGTGGATAAACTCCAGGCCAACGCAGCTTACGAAGGCAAGACCTGGCAGTACTGTTCGTATTGCTATTACGATTATTAGTATCAGTACTATTAGTACTATTTCTAGGAATATTGCTATAATTCATGCTAGTAGCGGGGAATGAAGGACTGGATCATCATAGTAGTCCTTATATACTCCTTTATAATACTTTCCATTTTCCTTTCCGTTCCTGCATTCCCAGCTAACCAAAGGTAAGTCAGAAGGGAATGGAGGAAAGAATTCCTTGCAATCCCAATATATAACCAACTGAAAATCGTTCCAGTCCTTCATTCCCTTCTAACCACCGGAAAGCTTATTGTGCCATTGGGATGTATACAGGTTGTTTACAGTTAGCTGTCATAATCCTCCGTCCCAAACCTGTCGCTCTGCTGGAAAGCTGTGGGAGGGCATGACAGCTTGAGAACCGACAGCGGATGTGGAGATGTCTCAAATTCAGTATTGGGAGTAGAACGTAATTCCCTAGGCTCCTGGTCACCTAAATAGTGGGTTCTGGGTTCTATATACCCTATAGTTACATAGCTCAGTAACCTACTTTTTAGGTAACTGGGATCCCTAGGGACTTGCATTTTTGTTCAGCTTAAGAAAATATCGAGTGCTGCGGGCATTCGAGGCTGAAGGGATTTGTTCAGAGAGTATGTTCCAACGCACAGAATGAAACATGATTTCCAGCTCAGGCCCAAACACGCCCAATGCTGGTGACTGAATCGGGGACATTCACTTCCTTCGCGGGGCTCAGAAGGTGGGATGAAGGTAGGTGGGTTAAAGGATCCTTAGATACTATACTATATTGGTGCGTATTTCCCTCAACCCACTTTTGAGCCCTCTGATTCCTTCAGGCTGTGGCAATGTTTGAAGGCGCTGCTCTTGATATGGGTTGTGCCGCTGGGGATGTCCACGAAGACCAACTCCCCAGCTCGGCCTAACCTGGGTTGCTGCCAAGGAACTTACAGCCCCCTTAAGTAGATAGAATATGGGGTTTAGGGTTGAGAGTTTAGGGCCCCCCTTAAGTAAATAGAATATGGGTTATATGGGGATCTTACTTTAATTTACCCAAAGCCATAATCTATCTATTTCAGGGGGACTATCACTTGAATTGTCCTGTTCTGAGTATATCGTAAATCATAGGGTTTCCTTATTATGGTAACTTAAACTAAGCTCCTCAAAAGAAACCCAGCAACGACGCATCTGATGCCTGGGTGTAATGTCTGTAGCGGACGAGGGTCAATGCCTGATCTTCCCAAACTTTGCTGTCTGGCTCCAGCACTTTTGCAGTCTCTGCTACCAAACGTGCGCGATAACCAGCAGGCAGTTTGAAAGCTTCATCGTCCAAAATTTCAGCAGCGCTGGTGCCTGGGGCCACCTGAAGTTTGCTGACAGCTCGTTGTGCAGAGTATAGGAGTCTCCTACTACATACTCTTTTTCGGTGGGGCGCTATAGTCAAGAATCCGAGCTTCTCCGGATATGCAAAGGGACCTCTCATCTTGAGAAATCCCGGTAAAGTCAATGAAGCCCATAAAGGAACCCCTACAAATAATTGCTTTAACACTAAACCGTAAAACCAAAACCCGAAACCCTAAACCAGGATGGCTCACCAGGATCTCAGTGCACGCTCCATTGGGGCTCTGCACGCTAACCCTGATTGGAGCAGTCCCCATGGCGGCCGAGCGACGGACACTCCTTTAGGGGGTTCAGGGTTTAGGGTTTACGGTTTAGGGTTTGAACCCAAAAACATCCAAAAACCAAAAAGCCGTAGTCAACCATGATCAACCATGTCGGATGCTGTGTCGTTTTGCTCTTGAGCTCCTTGGAAGACTCTGGTTCAGTCATGTTCAGGTAAGCATCACTTTCCACCTTGAACCCGTGCTCTCATAGCTTCAGGTCTCTACAAACAGGGATCTCCAAGGTACGTATATGGTTACATCTTTTCTGAGTCCGTTTGCAATTGCAGACAATGTCGGTTCTACCCATGATCCCACTCAGGATGGGCATGACATGCCTTAGCCCACTTGGCATCGTTCTTAGGGATCTGCCCTTTTAGACGCCCTATACATCGACACCCTAAACCCAGAAAGTATCGAACAAGCATTCACGCCTGCAAAGTCTTCCCTGGACAAAAAAAAAATGTAGCCTTCCCCAACTGAAAAGCGCCTACAGGAAGTTCTACGCTAGTTCGGCGGAGGATGATCATGTAGGGAACATTTTAATCACATGGAGGGATTGCCGAGTATTGCAGGGCCAGAGATGCTGTGAAAAGGTTGAGGCAGAGCCCTCATCGGAATCTATACTGGTACTTCTCTAAACCCTAAACCCTCAACCCTGAACCCTACAGTAAGCCCCAAACCCTAAGCCCTAAATCTCTAAACCCCTAAACCCCGAATGCTACAACCCGCACTCTGAGGAGCCCCCGAATAGTTATGCCAGTTTTTGAGAAACACCCATTTCAGCATGAGGAAGTCCTTAGCCCACAAGGTAGGTTTAGGTTTTAGTGGTTTAGGGATCTAAGGCTCATGGTGGTATCCGCTGCTATGTTTATCAGGTTCTGTGTAGGATTTAGGGGGTAGCCTGGCCTATGGTACTAGTGGATGGGTTGGCTTTCCGCACTGCAGTAATTCCGGCAAGGAGGTTCTCGAAATATTGGGGTCCCTGTTGGGGAGTTCCTACAAAACAGCTATAGCATTCACAGAGGAAGACGCGAGACTAATTCTCATATTTCCCGGTACTCCCAAGGGCCCCAGAACTCCTGTAATAGGACCTGCAAGGCTAATATCCCAACCTGCGTTCAGTACTAGCACGGGCAGACAAGAAACATGTTTTTGTTGCTTTCTTTTCTGCAGGTTTTCTGCGCTTGGGAAGCCCTACAATGCGGCCGCACCTTATAGCTAGACCTCTTTAGCGGCGATTTCCCATGGAAACTCTAACTACAGGTGTCAATCAAAATTGGCGCAGGCAGTTTCGCGCCCAGGGTTAGGAGCATATGGGCCACATGATTTTCAACTGTTCCTTGAATAAGTACAACTTGAACCCGAAGGATCAGCAAAGACCGCGCCGCTCCACATTACTATCCTACAATGCTTGTGATCAGATTGCTGTGGCAAGAAGAATTCTTGCACCACGCATCGTGCCCTATGCCATAGGAATGAAGGTTGATTGGGGACCATAAGTGTTGCAAGACGTCCTCCATCCAAAGTACCTGATAGCATGCCGTCTGGTTGATTGGCGGGCCATGCCCAAACCAAAGAACAGTTCCAGGTGGGGCTTAGCATCAAGGTTCAAAGGTTGGAGTGATACCAGATGAATACATGAAGATAAGCCTCATGCAAGGCTTTTATATAAGGTTTACGGGGCCATCAGGTCTAAAAAGGCCTCTTTGAAGGGTACCCATCTGATATCTACTCACTCGGAAAGGCCCTCCTAAACCCTAAACTTTAAACCCTAATCCCTAAACCCTAGACCCCAAAACCTAAACCCTAAACCCAAAGGCCTAAACCCTAAAACCTAAACCCTAACCCCTCAACCCTAAACCCTAAACCTTAAGGAACCCTAAACCCTAAACCCTAAATCCTAAATCCTAAACAAAGTGCATCTTGAGGCCGCAGCGGAAGTCTTTCATGTTGGTTTGACTCACAGTCCTCAGCTCAGGATTTGCTGGGTACTATTATACAGGGGTTATAATGGGATCATATAGGGGTTATATAGGGTTTAGATAAGGGTTTTATTGGGATTGTATAGGTATCCGCCGACCTTGGGGGGCGTGTTGGATGAAAACCCTCTTCTTTTCTCCCTTACAGCCTAGAAACGTGTGGGGGGGGGGGGTGGGGGGGGGGCGTAGGATCCCGTGCCCGCTTCCCTCCAGGCCCCCACATCTGCG